AGCGAGTAATAACTCAATAAAAGGATTGGCACATACCAATTACCATTCTATGTAAGGGGAATGCGATTGACACATACCCTTGAATGGAATTATATTATCGATCCTCGATTCATCGCTCCGTCGAAAGATGGACTAAATGTTTATTATTATTACATAGTTGATTAACTATTTGCATATTTTCATGTAGAAGTTTATCTATTCTTAGATTATTGCGCCCTCAAATATGCTCTAATAATAGTTTACCTAGTACCTTTAGTCCTACAGGATATCAGGCTCGATATAACTTCGTTAAAAGATTAAAGAATTTTCGATAATAAAAGTATTTCGACCAATATTGCATATTAGGTTCTGTAGGCTGTATGAGTTGAATGACTGTAAGTTTATACGAGACACAGCCAATAGCCATGCTGTTTTTACCTTGACGAATCATATACTTTTAATTCTTTGTACTGATTACCGAATACTTCATATTCCTTGAATTTTTAAAACGTACCACTGAACTACAATAGGTAAGCGCCTGAGATCAAATCAGTCGTACAGGTACAATTGCTCCTTATGCCTAACTTCAGAGTATCGAATCAGTAAGGATTGTTAATTTTGAATACGTCACTTTTGGACGTATCTGCCTATTCCGTTTTCAAACCGAGATATGCATGACGATTAAAAATATCATCACTTCCTGATATTTAGAGATTACCAATACCACGATAACACGAACATTACGTACGCGGAATTATTGACAACCCTACGACTCTCACCCCGGAATTTAAGTAATATCCGTTCCCTGTCCAGCACATGATGATGAAACCACACAAACCTAATTTCCTAAATTCTAGATTGCATGGTACGTGGTAAGTGAGCATGAAAACCTAAATCTACTCCTTCATAATATGTCGTGTGTCACCTGTAACCTCAGGAGAACCTGGGTACTTGTTAGCGTAATAACCTCATCAGGCCAAGATTGTTGCGTCATCTTTAAAACGGGGATTAGATAAAGAAGCAGGGCCTGGGTTTTCCGCCCCGAACATGACTAGCTGAGTAAATATTTGGATATATAGTGTTTGTGTCTGCGTCTGTGGTAGAAAGGACATACCGCCACACCCTGGTTGTGCGGCGAATGGGAGGTCTTACAGTTTAGAATCTTCCTCTGGAATCAATGTTGCATGATGATTGGAACCATTTTTCGTCGAAAATTTTTTCAAGAATATGTTTTATGATCAAGCAATTTATTATGTTGTCCCATTCCGGCATATGAATTTTTTAACACAAGTGCAAAATGTAATTCACGACCTAGTAACCAGGAAATAATATGTTGAGTTCACATTCAATACTAGCCAAAATTACTTGTTATATTCCGGTCATTCCTGACGACATTCTTGGCCCCTTTCCACGCAGTTAGACGGGACGTACTGCAGAAAAGGGTTTTTGTTCAGTTTCTCGACTCTTACAATGGCTTTTCATATTTTTAGTTTTTACTGAATTTTTTTGTGGTCGGGCGATTGTTTTACTTCCTCGATATTTGGGATATTTCATCACAGCTCTGCATACTCCATAGTCCATACTTTGTATTTTATTTCTCTGGAGTAGAGGCCCACATTAAATTAGATTATACATCAGGACTCTAAGTAGTGCACGCTTGTTAATTCAGAAAGTTTTGTTGAAATAATTCAAATTCGAACCATTAGTAACGAATTTTATTTGATTTTAATTGGTGCAATAGCTTAATTAAAGTATTATTTAATTGTGTTTCCTTATTTTGTGTCAATAGCAGAGAGACTACCAATTATGATTGATTACAAAGTTAACCTTGGTTTCCTTGGTTACAGCAAAATAATCGTTTTACTGGTAAAAAGCTGGAATTGTTTTTCTCTAGAATTATTTGTGACTGATTCTACCTAAATTTATCGAGAGAATTAGGTATTGGGACTCTTTATGTGCGTGATCCAAATGCACCATGACTTTCATCTTGGAAATAATCATTGAATTACGCAGTCCGTGATAAGGAAGTATGTAAATTTCCTTTATCGTTCCTTGGAAATTGAATTTTTTTTCTCATTCATATCAGGGATGGGCCTAAATCAGACATTTTATCAAAATATTCAAATATTTGGGTATTCAGACATATTTAACTTCATTAAGATTGTATAAATTCAGTTTCGCTGCAACGATTTCTCCAGTCTCGACAGGCTTCCACTTTGTAAAGTATGCAGGTCTATCTTTTGTGCACCATCGACGATTGTAAATCTTTACTTTATTTCACCTTGATTGTACCCAGTTAGAATTTAAAGTTATTTAATTTACAACCTTAATACGTATTTATTTATTTATGTGAATATAGTAGTAGCCCGTTATGAAGAGCGTTATAATTGTTTCGGAATTTGGAAACAATATTACCATAATCAGATTACAAAGAATTCCAATTATTTCGGATTCCACGAACTTTATAAGTTGTAGCCAGCTGTCGTTTGGCGGGAAATTGGGAGATTAGGTTTGGCTGCGATACAGCCACTATACAGCCACTATACAGTCACTATACAGCCACTATACAGCCAATATACGGCCTATATACAGTCACTATACAGCCACTATACAGCCACTATACAGTCACTATACAGTCACTATACAGCCAATATACGGCCTATATACGGCCTAAATACGGCCTATATACAGTCACTATACAGCCAATATACGGCATATATACAGTCACTATACGGCCTATATACAGTCACTATACAGCCACTATACAGCCACTATACAGCCAATATACGGCCTATATACAGCCAATATACGGCCTATATACAGTCACTATACAGTCACTATACAGCCAATATACGGCCTATATACAGTCACTATACAGTCACTATACAGCCAATATACGGCCTATATACGGCATATATACAGTCACTATACAGCCACTATACAGCCACTATACAGTCACTATACAGTCACTATACAGCCAATATACGGCCTATATACGGCCTATATACAGTCACTATACAGTCACTATACAGTCACTATACAGCCAATATACGGCCTATATACAGTCACTATACAGTCACTATACAGCCAATATACGGCCTATATACGGCCTATATACAGTCACTATACAGTCACTATACAGTCACTATACAGTCACTATACAGCCAATATACGGCCTATATACAGTCACTATACAGTCACTATACAGCCAATATACGGCCTATATACGGCCTATATACAGTCACTATACAGTCACTATACAGTCACTATACAGCCAATATACGGCCTATATACAGTCACTATACGGCCTATATACGGCCTATATACAGTCACTATACAGTCACTATACAGTCACTATACAGTCACTATACAGTCACTATACAGCCAATATACGGCCTATATACGGCCTATATACAGTCACTATACAGTCACTATACAGTCACTATACAGTCACTATACAGCCAATATACGGCCTATATACGGCCTATATACAGTCACTATACAGTCACTATACAGTCACTATACAGCCAATATACGGCCTATATACAGTCACTATACGGCCTATATACGGCCTATATACAGTCACTATACAGTCACTATACAGTCACTATACAGTCACTATACAGCCAATATACGGCCTATATACAGTCACTATACAGCCAATATACGGCCTATATACGGCATATAGACAGTCTACAGTCACTATACAGTCCAATATACAGCCAATATACGGCCTATATACAGTCACTATACAGTCACTATACAGCCAATATACGGCCTATATACGGCATATATACAGTCACTATACAGTCACTATACAGTCACTATACAGCCAATATACGGCCTATATACGGCCTATATACGGCCACTACAGGGCCTATCATAATCGTGGCCGTATAGAGGTCATAAAGTGGCCGTACATTGGCCGTATAAAGGCCGAACCTAATCAACCAATTTCCTTGTTTTGGCGAACGAACCACGGCTTAAGTCAAAGGCAATCTTTAAAATACAATCTAAAAATTTCTACGATTATTTTTTCTTTGAAATGTGACCTATAAGTTTAACCCTTATTAGCAGATAATTTAATTTTAAGCATAATTTCAAAGTAAATATGCATTCCTATCAGCATGGTTTTTAAAATATAATCGATAAAGAGATTCAATGATTTCCAGCTCTTTCGTCGTATATTTTCAAATATTTTTTGTTGTTCATATTATACATAATCTACATTTCATTATCTCCCAATGGCTAATGCGTACCAATATAGGTCACTAACGACAAATAAAATCCGTTATACTGATAACAATATTACCAAGAAACATACCATAGCAATACCAATAAATTAAATTGAAACTTATTCATAAGTATTAACTTAAATTCTGTTACTATGAATATTTGAAATACGTTATTTATCGTTTCATTATTACGTCCTATTCTTTTCAAACCACTGTTGGTTACTCCATGTATTTGCATGGTTCTAGCTATGAACTTACCATGAAGTTACCATATAATAACCAATTACCAAATAATAAATCTACGTCCAATAATTTTGATCACTGGTACTAAACATGCTTTTAAATCTCTAAATGAGATTGAGTATCAAAAATAAAGCTCCGGCACAGGACTGCATAAACAATCGTCTGACCATTTAAATGATCAAAGTAATGATATTATCCGTTTTCCAGATACTTACTTCAGACAAAAGTTTAAGTCAACTAAGCCGTTTGGAAATATCTTATTTAAATTTTAAAACATAAAATTTATTTATAGGTCTATCAAATCTATAAAAGCCTTCTTTTTATGTTTGATTTGAGACTGGTATTACACTTCATAGATTCTTTTCTACCGAAATTGGTTTGCAATTTTATGGAATTATTTTGGAACCAGATTTTTGTTTTACTTTTCTAATTTCTAATCTCCATTAATCTAAAATTAGTTCAAAATTCAGTTCATTGCAATTGAGGTTTCAAAAAAAGAATAAATATTACATTTAACGAAGTAACTTTAGCTAAATCAGGAGTATCAATGGTCATGTTCAGTCACAGAGGATCTAATAACGATCGGGGTGAGACAAGCGCTGAGAAAGGGAGGAAGTTCATAGACTACGCTACAAAACTTGGTACGGAATATCTTCTTATCCTATTCTTGTCTTAATTTTATCTAATAAGTCTTTATCACTGAATGACGGTATCAGTGAACATCATTTCATGAAAACACGCGATTTTTATAGTTCTTCAGAAAAAAATTTCAGACATTTAAAATACACATTTGATTTAAGAAGACACACTTTTTCAATTTTCACGTGCAAAAACACAAATTTAATTATCAAATACGTGGCCGTACAAAGTGTACCGGCATCGGGTGCTGGATATATAAGTTTATATTATGCTGAATATCAAATTCAATCCTAGTTCATGGTTGCGTTCTACAGATAAAATAAAGTGTAGGCTTTGTTCTTGGCCCACACAGCAAGTAGTGGTTCTCGAGGACTAGATCCTTTGTTGAGGCGATATTGAAAAATAAATTATCCGTTCCATAGTACTAGCTGTAGATATTGCACATCAATAACAATGACAGAAATTGATTAGGTTGAATAATGTAATGTAACTTTATTAATATAATTTGACTACAGATAATTTAATTTAAGAGATATCATGACTATTGGGAAAGAGGAAGAGGTTGTTCAACATCCTGACTAGATCGTGACGTTTCAATACTTTCATGCTATCAGTGCTCAGTTTTACATACGTAACTGATTAACTAATTAATTACCCGATTAGGTAATTAATGAAACATTGTCCAGGTTATGATAGAAGACTAGCGGAGATTGCCGTACAAAGGTTGGGAGGAGCCGCCAGCACTAATGACTTGTTGCGGACAGTTATCAACCTCTACAGGTAGATTACCCCTTCTCTCTGTTCAGGAGTGCCCATCGGGGTTTTACTTTTAAAACTGATTATGATGTATACAATAAATTAGATTTCGTCCATTAGAGACACTCCCTTTCGAGGGGCTTTCAATTAGATCAATCAAAATATTATATGTATTTGTAGAAAATTATCAGTGTTGAGTAGTGGCCGATCTGGGGTGGGGTGGGGTGATATGGTGACCATGGTTTTGTGTTTTTGTAGGCTTTCTTTCCTAGAAAAAGTACCCATAATATCTTTACATCACAGCGAAAAGAAGAAAATAAGCGGCAGCAGTGGGAGTAAGAATGGTACAGGAACAAAGCGGTACTGAGAAATAAAACAAACAACTAAACAGATCTCAGAATCCTGTCCTATCAAACACAACAGGGTGCTTACGAACATGCTAACATGCAAACATGTGATCAAGCGAACATGCGAACATGCTAACATGCTAACATGCTAACATGCTAACATGCTAACATGCTAACATGTTAACATGCTAACATGCTTACATACTAACATGCGATCATGGGAACATGATAAAATACTAGCTAATATGCTAATATGCTAATATGCTAATATGCTAATATGCTAATATGCTAATATGCTAATATGCTAATATGCTAATATGCTAATATGCTAATATGCTAATATGCTAATATGCTAATATGCTAATATGCTAATATGCTAATATGCTAATATGCTAATATGCTAATATGCTAATATGCTAATATGCTAATATGCTAATATGCTAATATGCTAATATGCTAATATGCTAATATGCTAATATGCTAATATGCTAATATGCTAATATGCTAATATGCTAATATGCTAATATGCTAATATGCTAATATGCTAATATGCTAATATGCTAATATGCTAATATGCTAATATGCTAATATGCTAATATGCTAATATGCTAATATGCTAATATGCTAATATGCTAATATGCTAATATGCTAATATGCTTAGGTCGATGAAGGTAACATAAAATTTGGAGGGAAATAAATAAATAAACCTGATGGACGAACTATGATATCCGTGGGGTTATATTAAAGTATCAAGTAAAACACCACGAATTTAGATTTATTTACTCGTTGTCAAATTTTAAAAATCTATTGCAAACTTTTGCGATGTTGCACATTTCAGAAAGTCATTCGCTGTTTATGAGAAAATGTTTGATCTGGTAGCCGAATCATAAACAAGAATCGAACACTTGCTTTTGAAATGAACTATTGAAATGATTTGATGAACTGATTTGGCTTCCAGATCAAGACATGAATAACTTTATGAATTCATTGTTACGCAAATGATTTGTATGCAGTGACCAATATCAACTAAGAGGCTTAAATATCTATCTGTATTCAGTATTGATCTCAAATTATTGTGCGGTATGCGTCAAACAGGCTCACTTTTGAGCTGATGCTAAAACATGTCGGAATTTCTTGAATGCTTCATAAAGGAGCACTTTTCATTGCTAAATCTTTCCAGCAGTCGACGAAGTGAGATTGTTAGCCTGGGAAACAAGCGTTTGTTCTTTATCCTTACATTTTCAGTGACCTATACAGATTCAGTGACTGAATCAAGGCAATAATTCTGTGTCAGAATTAGTGAGAAGCCATAATTACTTTTTTAAAGAGTTGGCTTTAAGCAATGAAATAAGCCAACTTGGCTTGTTTCATTGCACGGTTGTGTATTTTAGATTTTTTAAGCGGGTGACCAAAAGTAACTAACAAGATAATATGTAGGAGCGGTTTCAGTAATGATTTTTGATGTAACGGGATCAGATTTATAACATCTTGTATTTTATGTGATGATAACTTTGCGGAGTGTATGTGTGTGTGTAATTGATATAACTGTGATTTATATTTGGGGAAAAGCAAGAGTAATCTTTTATTTAATATTTTTATACATTGTCAATAAAATGTGGCGGTTTTTCTGTGTTCACCAAAAATTTTGATGAATGATAATATTATTCAATCATCGTAAATTCTTGTCCGCATAAAGTCTCTCCAATGCCCAGTCACCATACGGCCATCTTAAGGCCGACATGCGGCTTTCATATGGTTGATATTTATAATGGCCGTATACAGACCGCATGGTTATTGGTTACCGTATAGAGGCTGCATAGGTAGAGGATCTGTTGGGTGGTCGCTTATAAGCCATTTAGAGGCCGTATGGTGGGATTGTAGGACTGAATCCCTACCGGACGGAATCACTACCACCCAAATATCACTACTGGTAGTGATTTAGTCCGGTAGAGATTCAGTCCGAAAATATACCTCAATCCCTACCAGATGATCTTAGTTCACTAGTTCTAATATCATGACGTGATCTTTGACCAAATTTCTGCTTAGTAAATTATCACGAAAAATGTAAGGGATCACATCAAAGTGGTTAGGTCTAGATATTAGCGGTAGTGATTTAGTCCGGTAGTGATTCAGTCCGAAAGTATACCTCAATCCCTACCAATAGTGATTGGTAGTGATTCAGTCCGTTAGGGATTCAGTCATGTAGTGATTCGGTCCGTTCATTGTAGGACTGAATCCCTACCGGACGGAATCACTACCACCCAAATATCACTACTGGTAGTGATTTAGTCCGGTAGAGATTCAGTCCGAAAATATACCTCAATCCCTACCAGATGATCTTAGTTCACTAGTTCTAATATCATGACGTGATCTTTGACCAAATTTCTGCTTAGTCAATTATCACGAAAAATGTAAGGGATCACATCAAAGTGGTTAGGTCTAGATATTAGCGGTAGTGATTTAGTCCGGTAGTGATTCAGTCCGAAAGTATACCTCAATCCCTACCAATAGTGATTGGTAGTGATTCAGTCCGTTAGGGATTCAGTCATGTAGTGATTCGGTCCGTTCACCGTATGGTGGTATTATTGTGGCCGTATAGAGGCTGTATAGAGGCCGTATGGTGGTATTATTGTGGCCGTATAGAGGCTGTATAGAGGCCGTATGGTGGTCTTACTGTGGCCGTATAGAAACTGTATAGAGGATCTGTTTGGTGGTCGCTTTTAAGCCATTTAGAGGCCGTATGGTGGTATTATTGTGGCCGTATAGAGGCTGTATAGAGGCCGTATGGTGGTATTATTGTGGCCGTATAGAGGCTGTATAGAGGCCGTATGGTGGTCTTACTGTGGCCGTATATAGAAACTGTATAGAGGATCTGTTTGGTGGTCGCTTTTAAGCCATTTAGAGGCCGTATGGTGGTATAATTGTGGCCGTATAGAGGCTGTATAGAGGCCGTATGGTGGTCTTATTGTGGCCGTATAGACGCCGTATAGACGCAGTGGCGTAACGTTGCCTGTTGGCGCCCCCTGCCGCAAAGGCGCCCCCCTGTTGGCGCCCCCTCCCCTTTTGGTGCCCCTCCCTAAAATTGAACAAATTAGGTGATTTTAGAGGATACGCCGGTAAAATCTCTAAAAAAGTGTGTATCTAGAGCAAAACGCGCAGTTTTGCTAGTACTTTAGTTAAGTTTTCGAAATTGTCCCACATTCAAACGACGATTTGGCGCCCCCCTAAGACGGCGCCCCCCTGCACAGCGGGGTCAGCGGGGCCCTTCGTTACGCCACTGTATAGACGCCGTATGGTGGTCTTATTGTGGCCGTATAGACGTCGTATAGACGCCGTATGGTGGTCTTATTGTGGCCGTATAGAGGCCGTATAGAGGCTGTACAGAGGATGTATAGAGGCCGTATGATGGCAATACCTATCTGCCCATTATATCCTCATTCTACTGTCGAATAAAGAAACTGTTGTCTATTTTGACGGACTAAGGACTCTATTTTCCAGTAACACAATAATACTTATAGTTTATACTAACACTAACACTAACACTAACACTTATAAGTATAAATACTAAATTATAATATAATATTACCGAGTAATACTTATACTTATCTGCTGTCACAGACAAATATCTAAGTTACTGGGGTGTTAAAATTTCAACATTTGTAAGTGAAACACGGGAACACTAATCACTACTTCTCCATCTGAAAGGCTTGCTTCATTTGGAAAACACAACAGTGCTAAAATGCGCTCATACCTAGGAAGCTAGGACTACTATTTTACTATAAACAATTCGGGCACTCATCTTATTTATTATTGTAATCTCAGTCGTATGAAAGCTTATATTTCTACCACAATAATTCTCACTATATCCACACCTCCCTATAAAGGCTTAAAGTTTTTCAAGTTATTCTATCTGTTTGCTCTAAATAACATTCTCCGTTATAACGACCTTACAATCTCTCCATATTTAACAATTTAACAGATAGGTGGAGTGCATCGCTCCCCCACAACAAAGCACTCTTAAGTAACCTGTACCCCCAAACTTTATCAAATCCAATTCATGGAGGAGGAGGAGGAGGAGCGCACCGCCGCCCTATGTAAACGACAATTTGGCCGATCACACTACCTTGTTAAAATCACTTAAGACCTGTCCAGCGTCTTGTTCCTCTGCAAAGTTATTATGATGAGTTAGAGCGAAGGATTAGCGCCTGCTTTGCTTGCCCTGCTAACCCACGTGGGTGTTAGAACCCAGACTACTAATAAACGCTTATCAGGGCCGGGTTTGATATAACACCACTATAATTTGCGTTTTATTGACTATAATGCTCGCCACACTACAGGTGTGTGTGTGGGTAGGAAATATTCGTGCTTATTATTAAGCTGGGGTGCATAACAGGAACATGGTTATAACTCAATAAGGGGGAAAAGTTTTGTTGTAAACCATACAATGGGCCTTCATTAGGTGGGGTGAAAACAAGGGGCCTAATTGGGTAATTGATTTGTTGGTTCTATTCTTCTAACGGCTGGAGATGCTCCACGACCTCATTATAACAACTAACAAGCAAATAGTATTGTTACTCCGCAAAGTTATTATCAGGTATAACGTGGTTAGCCTCTGTTTATCAGGCTAGTGCAACCTTTGCTAATGGCTAATTGAATTGCACAACCAATGGGAGTGTAGACGACCATATCACATGTCCAGTGAGCCTCCAATCTGAGATGACGGTTGTGTTCATTGTCAGCCTAGCTGGAGTGTCTAGTTGCCCTGGTGACGTCACGTGTTGTCACGGTGACGTCACGTGACACGGCACCTGACTATTTAGATAGTAATCTTTAGTGACTTGTTGTTATAATGGTTAGAGGGGTTTTTGTGCCGGGGTCCGCTGCCCCATTGTTGGTTGGTCCAGTGTTTGGGCTGAAGTACTTCATCCTGAGTGAAGGGAACTACTTTTGTTCCTCCCCGTTAAATATACTTTGCTCCTTAATAAATTAACGAGACAGTCACTGAAATTTGCTGAACAACGGTTCAATTTTATAATTATTCTGAAAGCGCTTATGTCTGCTACTAAACGAATTCATTTTTCGCCCCCGTTGAATTCGTTTGTGGTGGATGTCTATAGTTAATGAGCTTTTCTTGCTTAAAAATGTTGCAAAAAGTTGACACATTATGGTGGCTAAATTCTTTTTGTTATAGCTTGATATCTTGCTTAAAAGGTGCACTAAAATGCAGCCGATCTTGATAATATCTTTTTGTTTGAAAGTAACAAAACAACAAAAGTTCCCAACCTCACATGCTCGTTACGATAACCATCAAGTGATCAACACGAGCACACTCCGCAAAGTTATTATTATACAAAACACAGAGTAATCTCCCCGACCACGTGACACATTACTCTCCGCCCACGTGCAGGCTCATCACCTGATCACGTGGTTACCGTGCAATTGCAGTACAGGGCAAAACAAACGATACTTATGTTTCCCACCACACGGTTAAGGTTGCATGTTGATAGTTGCTGGATTAACTACAATAACCGAGCATATTGCGTGAAGTGGTGGGAAAGTTAGATAACTACAGCCGGTTAAAACGGCCCTGAAATCTTTAAAACACTCATTTTTGAGATATCGATATTTAGTTTGTGCTTTCTGTCTGGTGTGAACTTCTGGTCACGCTGACGTACTCTACCATGGCGCCTACTGAATAGCTTTTAAAATGCCTATTTGCTGTGATGTTGATCATTTGAGGTCAACCATCAATCACATAAAATTCACTTTTGTTGCATCCATTGTTAATTGTGGGCATCGCACGTTTTATACATTGAAATTTCAACTCCAAACAACCAACATTTGGCCGGATAAATGGTTTATCGCATCGTCATTTATATAATTTCCCGACCTTTCCTTCTTTCAATTCGAAGAAAGATTAATTTATTTTTGTATTCCAGCAAGGATAAATTTCACAATGGGTGTAAAAGAGCTCGAGTCAAAAAGACGGATGTCTTCATTTCTCATTGCTGATCTGCTGGATAAATCAGTTACTGCAGGTAGGATTGATATTTTGTAAGCTTTTCTTCTATTAACTGACTGATCCTTTAGCGGTCGGTTACAAATTTACAATTTTCTGGGTCATTACAACGTGATTTTATGAAATATAAACAAATTCTCAATACTTGCGTATTTTAATGATGAAATAGTAAATTTCAATCCTGAATTTTGTTTAGTTTTGAAGATCCTACAGAAAATGTAATTAACTAATGGAGGATTTTAGCCTAAATTTTAAATTTTCTGCAGAATCGAGAAATATTCAACGACATGTAAAAGATAATTCTAAATTCTAAATTCTAAATTCTAAATTTCCGACTGTAATGCATAATACTGATAAAACTGCATATTTGGGTCAGTCGTGATACTTTTCATTGTCTTTAACGGTAAACAGTATCACGACTGACCCAAATTCCCCACATCTAATTTTCTTATCAAGTATTTATTCCGTTAATATCTTTACGTTTAAGGGGACAGTAAATTCTAGATCAGAGAAAATTATGGTAGAATGGTAGGTAGGTGCTGAAGTTAGGCATAAATTCATGCTGTACCAAAAGATATAATAATCAAATAACGCCCAGGTTTTACTTTTTAGCGATATATTGTACACGGCCTCTACTGGTTTAAACAGTTTAAAGTAAAAGCTTTAAAAATCTTTCACTGTTTATAACGAAGAGGTATCAGCATAAAAGTTTTCCAACATTTTTAGAGTGCGCGCCATAGTTTCTGAAGCCATTATCTGATCAAGCTACAAGTAAACGCATATTGCTGATAATTCTGATGTTTTGTTTTGCAAAATTAGTCCGAAATAATTCCCCAAAATTAAAATTTATTTCGCTTCTTGTGGTAACGAAATTGTATCACCGATAACTTTATAATCGATTATACTTTCGCTTTTTTTAAATGATATTGCCACTTACTTTGAGCTCTTTTTAGTTTTTTGGCAGCCCTTATTTATCATTTCTCTCCGAAAAATATTTAAAATCGAATTAACCATTTCAGAACGAAAACATAACTCAGACCACTACCTCCCCCCTCTGCCTTCTCAATTAAAACCCTTGAACCGCGGGGTAACATTTCCAAACCACGTGACGTCACCTGACCAGACTATGACGTCATCCGACAATATGATGACGTCACCAGAGAAGATGATGACGTCAGATACTGAAACACCTGGAGCCTCAAGATCTGATATCTTCCTTCCTCCTCTAAACACACACAACGCTACTGAGCTCTTGAAAGCTTTGTTAGGTAATTACTGCCGTTTTAAAGATTATTAATCAAGTTCAGTCAACAGTTTCCTAGACTTACTATTTTTTACATAAAAACTTTCCAGACAGAAAGATATTCTAGCCAATCAATTCTCTTGTTCAAGAACATTGTACAAGAGGTTATTTATGTAGGGTAAAATATCTCCTATAAAATTTAAAGGTGGTTAAACTATGCAGTAACTACGAACCAGATGCTGATACACTTGAGCACTTGATCACTGACAGTGAAATTATCTATCGTTGACAGTTTTTCTAAATTCGATCGTTTAAGTGCGATTTAATAAAAAGTGAGACAGCGAATAAGCCGATTAACATTTTCATGTCAAAAAGCTTTGATCAGTTCAGTAAAAACTTGCATAAGAGTGGATTAAATATTAATTTAAGTTGAGGAACCAAATTTATTATTTCGCGATTCTCTACATAACATTTTCTTCAGAAAAAGCCTCCTCCTCAACTCTTCTCAAGTCGTCCCTCGAGAGTATCAGTTTAAAGGACCTGTCCCTACCTCGGATCCCAGCCCAGTCTGATCTGGTGACGTCATCTCACGACTTCATGACGTCACGATCTTTGATGATGACGTCACCTCCTCGACAGGAGCTACTTCCAGCTCGCCCTGCTTTTCCCACCAGTGTCAACTACAGCCGCTCTTGTCATAGCTGTAAGTTATAATATTTTTATTTAAATCGGTTTTTGTCGGTTCAGTGTCAATTACAGCCGCTCTTGTCATAGCTGTAAGTTATAATATATTAATTTAAATCGGTTTTTTTGTCGGTTCAATCTTATTGGGATGCTTATATCGATCTATTTCTTTAAGTCTTTACAGCAGAGTAAATATTTGAACGAGTTATGAAGCCACGCAAGCATCCTATCAAGCAGCCCTGTCAATTGTCATTGATTGGGTGCTGTGTGGGAATATAAGAAACATGGGCGAGTCCAATCGCTGTCACGTTTATAAAAATAGTGGAGTTCCTCCCCACCGATGACTAACTTAGCATCGGGCATCCTGTAATGCTAAATCTGTAAATCCTGTAATGCACCTATCTAGCACATGCTAAAGCTCGTTTAATCACCCGCATATTTATCTTAGACATGTGTCATAAAGCTTAAAATCATTCAGCTTGTCTAATCAAATCAAGCTCCCCACCTACCTGTTAAATCACCATACACTAGCTCAAAGAATCTCCTAAAATCCATTAAAAGGGATTATGCCCACTTACCGAGCTGTTAAGATTAACAGGGCGGATTACCCCACATTAACCGTTAGTTAAACAGCCGGTCTGGTCCAACTAACACGTGACCCGCCCACGTGGTCATGTTAACACGACTGCTTGGTGCCTTCTTCTCGCTGGTAATCGTCGCTTAAAATTGTGAAAATGGTCGACCGTGCGCTCATCTCCGCATAATGCACTGCGTCTAATCTGCTAAATTCAATCAATTAACGTTTTAATAAGCAATTTGCTCGTTAGACACAGTAAGTGTCTAATGCTTGTCTTGCAGAGCTAATTTCCCTAACCCATTGACAAGTTGTCCACGTGATTGGAGAGCTGGCTGATGATTTGTCATGGTGATGGACACGTGATCGAGATATTTGCACGTGCACGGTTTAAGAGAAATCACGTGACGGGTTAACAGACGATTAAGAAATTCTGCAACAATCAATAGCATTTGGAAGTGCGTTTATGATGGAAGCTGCGCTCCTTACGATCCTCATCTTGGTGAAATTAGTAGTTGTTAGATTATTAACGAGAAATATAAAATGACAGGCGGTTTATGACAGAATTATTGGTTATGTCATTTGTTAAATCAGCAAGCACATGTGGAGTTTCCAATATAATATTAATAATCGGTTTATTCACAAATTCATTCGACTTATTAATTAGCGAGAAAATAAGGGAGTCATTCGAATAATGTAGTAAAATAATTACAAAATTAATATTGTTAGTAAGGAAGTCATTCTGGAATTTAGATTAAAGAATCGAAAGCGTAGAACTGAAACTTTGACACTCCAAACCAGCTGGAACATATACCTTTAATTAAAGCTATCGTGTAATAATTATAAAGTAATAAGTTATGTGAACTCAACTCATGAAACAACAAAAATCATTAATTATTTTGACTGTCAGGTAAAAATTTAACCTAATAATAAACTTTTCTATAAATCATACTGATTTCCCAATTTTCAGATCACCGCACATCACCCTCTTCGTTCCCCATCACCGTCAGACCTCTCCGAAGAAGAAAAGCTCGCACAGTATTCAGCGATGATCAGCTGACTGGGCTTGAAGACAAGTTCAGAGCTCAAAAATATCTCAGTGTGCCAGAAAGGGTGGAGTTGGCAGTTAATCTCGACCTCAGTGAGACTCAGGTAATTAGATGATAAGTTAATTAATTAATCGGCTGATTAATTGAACAAATTATTTATTTATTCCTTCATTTGTCGCAAGATAAACTTTAAAAATCGAATGTGATGACAATTATGATTCAAAATTTGTTTTGTGAAACAACAAAAACGTGTCCATGATCCATTGAAATTTAACAACAACCACAAAACTCATGTTCTTTTGATTCAGGTAAAAACATGGTTCCAAAACCGAAGAATGAAGTGGAAGAAAGGACAGCAGACAGAAGTTCGGGACAGTCCAGGAAACGACCTCGCCCAAGAACAGAGCGCTGCGCGGTACGACATTTTGCAAGACCAAAACGCCGCACGCTACGAAAACGTGTCAGATATGTCAACGATAGGTTCCCGGGATTCTCGTGGAGTAAGGGGTTTATCGAGCGTGCTGAATTCGTTTTCCTCCAATTATTTGGTAGGGTGAATCCTTGGTGAATTCTATTGTGAGCTGAAACGCGATCGAACAATGAAACAAAATGCATGTTAAAATTTGCTATAAAAATGTTATGGATGTCAGAAATTTAAAACTGCTGACTTCTTCATGCTTACACATATAAATGGTCAAAGAGACAAATAAGACGGATCATGAATATTTATTTAAATTGTTGTACAATATTTTGAACATAAGAATAATGACCATTATATAATGTATATATATATATAACTTGATTTTATTTGTAACATAAGATATCAATTATACCAAATATTTGATTCTAAACGGACACCTTATCATAGACTGTAGACGATAGCGGACACTTTATAAATAGTATTACTATTAGTAACTGACAACGCTATCAATGAAAATATTGAACCGGATCGAGTAGTAGAAGCTCTTATGGGCATTTTCTGCTCGATACCGTAGGGACTCCAGAGTCCAGATACACATTTCTAGACGTATTTTTGACCGTTGAATCGATTAAAAGTAGTTTTGAAATGATAAGTCTGAGTTTTCCCGGGTAAAATCGCAAAAAAAATGTTGGGCCAAAAACCATGTTTTTTGAACTTTTAAGCAAGTTAATTTTGTTGGTGTATCAGCAAAATTTGCATGAAGATAGCTGAAACACAGCCGCACATGATGGCATTAAAATTAAGCTATTATTCTAGGATTTCCCCGGGTAAAAATCCAAAAAGTTGGTTGAAATTTGCCGATTTTTGCTTAAATTTTGAATAATTTTCTGCAGTTGTAGTAAATCAACCCAAAAATATTTGTATCGCGTGTTTTCCTAAATTTTTCTCTTCCGAGAAGTACCGGGTCCCCACTTGATATACTTTATCGAAGTTTGAATATTTTCACTCCGCAAGCGTTATTGCCAAATTTTCGACGTGGACTACTATACGCGCAAAAGCATTTAGTTGTTATCAATGGGCACCCGCGCGTTCATCATAAATTTCAAACTTTTTAAACAGCCATAACTCAGCGAGATTACGTTTGTCTTAGCTCAAATTTTCATACCAAATAGAAAACAATGTGATCTTATTGCTGACAAAATCTGAATATAAATCATAAATGCTTTATTGGCCTAAGAGTAATAGACTGTCAAACACGCATTGGTATAGTACGTGACTAATAAGGTCAAATTTATATTTCTTAACATATTATTTGTCATACGTTGTATTGTAGAAAAGATAGAGTGAAACAACAATGGGGGTCACGAAGTGATACAACATATTCTTGATCCTTACACATCATACTACTCACTACTGTGTCCAATTAATAGTTAGGTCTCCAAACTCATAGCAGAAAACACGTCTTTTTGCCCGTAAGAGCCTCCACTAGATAAGAGGATTAATTCAATTATTTTACAAAGCTATTCATTATTCGATGCACTTATAAAACACATTATAGGCCTCACAAATTCATATATGTATATATGTATATATGTGTTTATCCGTACCATTTTACTGACACCACGGCATCAACTTTAACGCGACTTTCCGCATTAATACAACTGAAACTTTTTTGACTGGTTCAAATGCTTTAATGGCTTTCAAATCATCAAGAAAAAATAAAAAATTGGCCAAGGAATAGGAATTTTAGTGCCCAAAATTTGGACAAGAAGGGGAGCAAGGCTTTAGCCGCTAACTACAGGCCGGTTTCCCTGACCTCTCACCTCATCAAACTCTGTGAACGCATCATGCGCAACCAGATGGTCAACTTCCTTGAACGCAACAACATGTTCAACCCTGATCAGCATGGTTTCCAAAAAGGCAAGAACTGCCTCACTCAGCTTCTCCATCACATCGAGGATATAATCTGCGATCTCAACCTCGACAAAAATGCTGACGTGCTCTACCTCGAGTTCAGCAAAGCCTTTGATAAGGTTGACCACAAGATACTTCTCAAGAAGATCCAGGCCTTTGGTATCCGTGGTAAGCTCTACGACTGGATAGCCAGCTTTCTTACTGGCAGAAAGCAGCATGTTATCGTGGATGGGGTCATGTCCACGATCATCGATGTCATCAGTGGGGTTCCTCAGGGTACTGTCCTAGGTCCCCTTCTCTTCCTCATCTACATTGACGACATCTTCTCCGTTGTCAAGCACAGCAAGATCAAAGTGTTTGCAGATGACTTGAAGCTCCACAAAGATATATCTTCCCATATCGATCGCATCCTTCTCCAAGAAGATCTTCTCTCGGTTGTGAATTGGGCTGATGCTAACAACATGGAGCTTAACGAGGAAAAGTTCCAGCTTCTACAACACGGCAAACTACCAGACTTGAAGCAGCCCTACATACTACCATCTGGAGAGACTCTTAAGGGCTCTGACCACGTGAAGGACCTGGGTGTCTATATCGACCCAGACCTCAACTGGCGCACTCACATAGCAATGAAGTCTGCCAAAGCCAGAAACATGGCTAGCTGGGTGCTACGCACCTTCATCTCCAGGGATGTAGCGACCATGATGCTCCTGTACAAGTTCTACGTACGATCTCATCTGGAATACTGCTGTTCTCTGTGGTCTCCTCACATGCAGTGCGAAATTATCAAACTCGAAGCAGTTCAACGATCCTTCACTGCTAAAATCCAGGGTCTTGGAAGTCTCAACTACTGGGAACGCCTAGTCCGTCGCCTGTCTATGTACTCCCTTCAGAGGTGGCGTGAGAGATACACTATCATCCTAGTTTGGAAGATCTATAACAATCTCGCTCCAAACAGTATGAACATCAACTTCCGCGAGACCTCACGATACGGAACTACGTGTATACGACCACTAGGGTCCTCCAAGTACACTAGTGTCAATAACCTGAGGTTCAACTCCTTTGCCTCTAGAGCCTCTGCACTGTACAACGTGGTCCCTCCTAGCATCAAGTCCCTCCTAACCTTGACCACTTCCGAACCTGCTCTTGATGCTTTCCTCAATGAATTCCCTGACACTCCACCAACACCTGGGTACACTGGACAGAACAGGAACTCAATGCTGGAGTGGGCCGGTGGCACGTGTCTCTGACGCGCTACTACTTGGCGGTGGAGATGCAAAACATTCTTGGTCTGGTAGCACTCTAGCTCGGAACCCAACCCAAGTAACCCAAGTAAGTAACCCCCAAGTGGTGTCTAAAACGCGAATTAAATATGTAATAATTATTTTAGTCTCTTGAGTTTTTACACCACATTTAGGGTTATACGGGTTCCTGCTAGTTATAGTAAAACCCCAAGTTACCGTACCCCGATTTATTTACCGCACCTCTTACCTTTCCTCCTCTCATTTATACGGCTTATAAATGGGTCCCTGATGTCAAGCAAGAATATTCGTAATTTATGGTTGGTGATTCGTGGGCGTGATCAAACTATTTAATCCACTTTAAAATGACGAAACTATAGATGTGGATACTGGCGGAGAGGTGAACCACATTTGTTTACTTTATAAATAGTAAGCCCCTGTTAGGCGGGTTGAAGAGGTGATACACATTTGTTTACATTTTTAGGGTAAGCCCCTGTTAGGCGGGTTGAAGAGGTGATACACATTTTGTATTATGGAACGCTTGTAACACTCGTAACGCCTTCTTGTTACCCCCCTTTGAAGGCCCCGAATTATTTTCTGAACGAAAGCTCAAAAATAACCGAGAAATCGACCTTCTTATTAACTCATTTTGATGACTGTTTCTGACCTAAAATTGCACGAAAAATCGATTTAGCTAGGTTTCAGAACCTATAAACACTTCCTTATCCCTCAAAATTGATGTTTTATAGTTCTATAGTTGATACGAGCAACAAGCAACATATGTTTTGATCCTTCGGTTCTACTCGTGACCTAGGCAGTTAAGCTGAACCCGACAGATCAAGGCAATCCTCACCTTAACTGATCAAACTGGTACTAACACAATTATCAGATATAAATGTTCTTTGAGATACGTTTATTGCAGCTCTGCAACTCGAGTGAAGACCAGAGTACGAAAACACACAGCAGGTAGGCAACTCACTTTTTGTGACTGTTCCTCACGAACATTCTGATCCTGCAACATATGAAAAGGAGATAGTCTCCTTAACAAATTGAACAGGTACCTACTATCACAATTTCCAGAGCACAGCATGATAACAAAGTCAAAAGAAACACAATGAAGGTAGGTTACGAACACCACAATATAAAAATCATACCTTACAAGACTTTTTTGTGGCGGACCAATTTGCGACGACCGAAATTTTGGCGGTCCGAAAATATGGCGAAATTGAACAAAAACCGTCAAATTTCGGACGTCACAGAAAATAAGGGTATTTTTCATCATTTTTTGTGACAGTAAGCAGTAAGGAAATTTCTGAAATTCGGTAAAATCATGTTCAAACTTAGTCTGTATTAAGACTGTAAGACTTTCATGTTAGCACATACATGTATTTTAATGCAAATTTAAACTGTATTGCTTGACATTCAATTCGTCATTGGTGTGGTAATAATTTCTCCCAAGAAGCCAGAATTTATTTATTTATTTTACTTTTTAGAAACAAAATAAAGCAGTGAAGGCACAGTCATTGACATAAGCTAAAAGATAATGCGACGGATTCTATTACGACGACCGAAATTTTGGCGGTCCGAAAATATGGCGAAATTTTCGGAAAACCGCCACATTTCGTACGTTATAAATATGTCTTGTAAGGTACTTAGTAGATAACAAGAGTCTCCTTCGCGCTGGAAGCTAATCTGCAAAGAGGGTGGTGTTATCATTAGACAATTTTAAGTTGAGCTGTAGCACAGACAACCCGTCGTTGTGAAATTTAAACCAATTAAACCGAAACATGCTATAACTAAACAATGTTAATGATCCGTTCATGATTATCTTTAACACGACTTTCCGCAAAAACCGTAAAAGATAAACAACTGAAACTTTTTTGACTGGGTCAAATGCTTTAATGGCCTTCAAATCAGCATGAAAAAATAAAAATTGGCCAAGAAATAGGAGTTTTAGAGCCCAAAATTTGGACCCCCAAGTGTTGTCAAAAACGCGAATTAAATAGGTAATAATTATTTTAGTCTCTTGAGTCTTGACACCACATTTAGGGTTAGACGGGTTCCTGCTAGTAATAACTAAATTATGCAATATTCGTGATAACTGTCGTGACTTGCTAAATAATTTTTGAATTTTGAAACTCCTTCTACAGGCATAATATTGAGAGTGAAGTAGTAACAT